GAGCAGGCTGGTTTTTGTTCTGATCGAGGATGTATTGATCACATCTTCACATTCCGCAAAATGTTAGAACCTAGTCATAATTATTACAAGTCAACAATCGTAGTGCCTTTTAACATTATAGCCACCTCCGATTTGTTTGACAGGATTGTTCTCTGGGATTGTCTATTGAAGGGTGTGTCTAAGAAGTTTACTAACATCGATAAGAGTAGATTGGCTGTTTGCCTATGAGACCTGGTCACTACGAGTTGAGGATGTTAAGCGACGTTTTTCAATCTTTGTTGTTTCCAAAAAATCACTTTCATTAAATGGCGACTATGTTATTATTGCGGAGGTTCAGCATCGTGTGGACTCCCTGGTTGGGGTCCTAGAGATGGTGAGATAGAGTGGCTAGAGACTTTGTCAGACATGGCTATGAATAGAAGCCAGTGGCGATCCTGTCGTAGCTTTTTTTACTTTTCTTCTTATAAAAGTGGACGTAACTTCTTTAACTGAAAGAATTATTTCTATTAGAAGGGGTTTTGTGGATATTGTAGTAATTTAAATAGTTAAGATCATGAATCAATTAAAGCTAGACCACCATGGAAAACCCGGAAGCACTGGACGGTCGTTTCGCCTTACCGTGGGACTCCTAAGCAGCAGGCATCCACGATCCCAGCTCAGTGGTTCTCGAGGTTAAGCGTTTGCGCGCAAGACTGATAGGTCCTGGGTTCGAATCTCGCGAGGCGGGATCGTAGACGCGCACTGTTGAGGAGAATTATTTCTGTTTGTATTTTTGCTAACTGAACTATTTCTCCCATTATTGTTATTATTATTTCACTATCATACACCAGTTTCTGTTCACTGTTGTTCTTCTTTTTATCGCACACACTTTACATTATCTACATCTTCATAATCTCGTCGTCCTTGTGTGGAGCAAATGTATTTGGTGCCCCTTGTACCAATGTTTGTTTTCGAATCGACAAGTAAATAACTACTGACAGATATTCAGTGACCAGTTTCAATTATAATAACTTTTGAGTGTATATTGTTATGCGTATTGTTAACAGTACTTCCAGATTTTCCATTGTGGTCTAGCTGTAATCGACTCATGAATTCAACTATTAAATTGTGAAATATGTCTAAACATTTATATAAGCTGATAATGTGCAAATTGATCATCATAATCGCATCTAATTAATACTTACAAGTTACTTCCAACTCTGTTGTATTCGTTGGACATTTATCTTACTATAACAGTTTCCATTTTTGACTCTCTTCATTACTATTTCGGAGTTTCTACTCAAATGCTGTCATAGCTTTTCATAAGTTGTAGTAAACAACTTTTGTGCATATCTACTTTAGCAAGCATTCTTTATTAATAGTATACGAACACAGATGTCGTAAGCACCTAATGAATTGAGGTTTATAATGTATTTCATGTATCTTAACAATAATAGTGCCTTATTTGCAGGTTTTAAGCATAACTTAATCATGTAATTAGTTTCCATAACATTGAAGGTAATGTTTAAAATATATCTTAGAATTTTTGATAAGGTAAGGAACAGAGTTGAGGAAGCATTATAGTCAAGAGAAAAGGGACAAAAATTATAAATAAGCATTGCTCTACGTACACTCTCGAATGTAAACAATCTGAATACATCGGGTGAAGTACAGTAGACTGCATCATGGCAAATTCCCTCAAGTACCATAATAAGTCAATAGAAATTTGAGGGTCAGACATCATGAGGAACTTGGTCATTCGGCTAAAAAGAAGTTGTTACTCACGAATTTGGATGAACGATATGTTGGTGAAAAATACAAAAATTCTAGGATGTCCGTCCAAATTATAGTTTAAGGAATTTCACTGTATTTTAACAACCGAATAAAATATCTGATATTTAAAGCGGTCACAGTTCATGTGAATTAATGAAACCATTGTAGGAATGAATAAAACAAATCTCTATGCACGATCAAGCGTTTTAAATAGGCACCTTATCAAACCCCGTTTGTATTGCATAGGGCAATAACTATAGTAACTAAGGTATTGACCCGTCCACGTCGGTTTTCGGAAAATGGATCGTTTGATTGAGCCATCTTCTCGTCTGCTTAGAAGTATATCTAGGAAGGGAAGTCGGTCGTTCTTCTCCTCTTCGCATGAGAGACTGATGTGGTTTTGAATAGTGTCAAGTTTATTCAATAAGCAGTTCATATTATCCTTTCTTTCACAGATAACTAAGATATCGTCCACATAACTCTTATAAAGTGACACATTTTCGATTAAGTCTTCAGACAGATTTTCATCATGTGCCATAAACACATCTGCTATTAATGGTCCTAACGGACTACCCATAGCAACCCCATCAATCTGGCGAAAGTATTCGCCTTCAAAAGTGAACTGAACATTGTTCGTACATAAAAGTAATAAATCTTTAAGAATATTTAAAGGGATAGGTAATTTAGGGTTGTTTGAAGATATATAGTCACATAATTTGTCGATAGTTTTTTTAAGGTACATTTGTGAATAAGGAATTCACATTAAATGAGCACATTGTCTCAGCTATCTAACTGTATCTTAAGTATTCAAAAGAATCTAAAAACATATATTGTCCCTTGATATTAATATCACCTAAATGATCGACCAATTCAAAAGAATCTTTCAGAGAATACTTACATAAACGTCTTCGAATAGGATCCAGCAATTTTGTTAGTCATTTAGTTAGGTTATGTGTAGGTGATCGGCACATTGATAAAATTTGGCGTAAAGGAATATTTGATTTAGGAATTTTAGGTAGTCCATATAAATGAGGATATTCAGAATCCATAGGTTTTAAGAAATATTATTAATAAAGAGTTTGACAAGGTGCCTATTTAAAAGGCTTGATCGTATTTGCACAAACGACGCTATTGATGATGATGTAAAGTTGTTAAACAAGACATTAATGGGGAATGATTATCCACCTAAATTTATCAATAGATGGGAAGTTCATGGTACAGTGAGACCCACTGTAGCCTTGGTGGAGAAAAAGCCTGTCTACATCACCTTACCATTCAGAGGTGGTTCAAATAGCTTTTTATTGAAACAAAGGCTTAAATCAGTCATCCACAAAGCGTATTGTGCAGTGAAGGTCATAATCAAAGAAAGAACGAGGCTCATGCTTCACTCAAAACCTAGAAGACATGAAAACGATTGTGTCACATCCCACTGTATTTACCTATTTAAATGTGTGTGTGGTCACACATACATAGGGAGGAGCAATCGTGATCTCAAAATTAGGATGTGTGAACATGTACCGAAATGGTTGCAGACTTAAATAAAATCAAATGACCCAATATAAGTAGATGATAAACATCCATCATCCTCTATTGCCAAACATATAATCGAAACAGGCCATAAGATTCGTTATATGTGAAAAATTACATTTGAAATAGTCTCAGCGATTGAAATTTAAATAATTCCAACGTTTCGTTCAGCTAACTTGTCTGGACTTCTTCAGTGAAATAATCAAAATCATCAAAGAAATATATAGTGTTTTTTAACAATCATATCAAAATCTATACTACGTTAAACCAATCATATTTGCATGTTGAATTTATGTAAACAGGATAACATGAGGTTGATCTTAACTCGGCTTTTGTGGTGTTGTATAAAAGTGTAAAAGGGCGTATACTAAGGTCTATTGAGGCCTTAGCCATACGAAAATTCAAACCCCCTTTGTGTATTCAAAAACAGTTTGTTCTCACCTTGAACCTACCCTGGTAAAATTAGTTTGTTACCCAGAGTGATTAGGTTTTAAATTGTTTTCACATTATTTTATTGTTATTATCCCTGTCTCCTCTTAACCCTCATTTCTAGTCTAGTTGATCTTTTATTTTTATATATAAATGTTCTTAACAAGTATATGTGTGATCAGATTGTTCGAAATATATTGCGCTAATAGTTCTGATAATCTTCGTCTTATTACACTATCGAAATTAAAATTATATTGCTCCGATCAGAGAACACTGGAATTTTATTGAAACTATTGTTGTAAACTCATTCAGTATTGTTTGTTTGAATCTTCCCATCGATTTGTTAGGACTGCAACTGGTCAGTCTCTAATTGGCATATGTGCATACTGTGCGTATTACCTCAATATAGCCTTAATTCACAAGCATGGGAAGATTCAAACAAACAATACTGAATGAATTTAAACTTCACCCCATCGCACAAGCAAGTGGCTATCAGGACTCAGTGGCCGAGTGGATAACGTGATGGCGTTTGAAGCGAGGGTACTGGGTTCGAGTCCCAGAGTTAGCATCAACTCAGATGCAGGTACATCCAGCTGACGAGTCCCAAATAGGACGAAACGCGCGTCGAACTGGATTCCACTGCTAGCCACTATCCATCTCTGCTTACCATGCTTGTGAGTTATTGTTGTAAACATGTCATGAATACTCAGATTTGGTTAAGAATAGATATGATGGTTGATATTAAAGCTCATAGCTGTCTCAGCTATCTAACTGTATCTTAAGTATTCAAAAGAATCTAAAAACATATATTGTCAGTTTTGAATTGACGAGTAAAATCAATTGATCTGACTGACTGTAGTCTATGAGCTTCGAAATTGCCTTGTACTTTTTTCAGACCTAATCTATTTTACTGTTGCTGATATTATATCATATATATACAATCGAAATTTTAGTGCTGATTGAAGGCTGTAAGTTAATATATGGCCACAAGTTTAACTGAACTTTCAGATCATAACGTAGTATATTTGATGCGAAATGGATTAGGATAATCGGGTAGAAACCCTTGGAGTCTAAATTTTATGCTGATTGGTATTCGTTTGTAAGGTGCCTACACAAGCTTCAAAGAACTGATGTTCCCAGTAAGATATAGCACTATTGGTAATCAATCAAAATATAGTATACATATTAATATTGACAGTGGATGGAGAATTGCAGAAGGTATATCCAAATAAAAACCACAATAAAAGGACTAATCAGCAAACAACAAATTATGAGACATTTTAAAACCTTACTATTCAAAATATCACCACTTTGTAAAGGTCGCATATCCGGTATTCCATGACAGATCACTTCGTTAACTGATCTAAAATATTGATAGTAAAAGTAAAACAGAACAATAGCTGTTGTAGGTGTGTATGAATGTATATGTGAGTGTTGAAGATTTTCAGACGAAGGAAGCTAAGAATCTCGGATACCCAATGGATAGTTACACAAAAAATTAACTAAGCTGAAAGATACTGAAGTGACCAAGTTAGTATAATTATCGTACTACTTAGTACTAGTCAGACTCCTGGCGAATTCAATCCCGAGTCACCCAGACTCACGATCAGAGACGCTGACATAGATCAATTCAAGCTGCCGCTGACCTGCTGTAGAGTGATACGAGGTCGAAACCCGCTAGAGAGCATCAGTCTCTTTAAAACTACAGGTAAACCTTGTTCATGAGTGCTAAATAGCACGAAACTTGGGTTCAGGGTTTCTTGTCAACTACCACACTATATATCAAAATAGTGTATGCGATGTGGCCACATTACAACTTCAATAAAATCCGATCAACATTAAGGACTTGACATGAGTGACACTGGTCAATACTCAATGATCAATCAATTGTAAAAGTATAATTATCATTCGAATTGATGAAACTGGTTGAAATCCTTTTTGAATGAATACACGTTTGAAAAAACACTTTAGAAATAATTATACTATTCTATTTGCCGAAAATAATATAGGTATATTAAATCTTGTATTCACTATGTAGAATGCAAAGAATTCAAGAATGATAATGATATCAAAACACAGTAATATGCTGAATAACACTGACCCATTAAAGATTTTGGTTGTTATTCTTGAGGATTTTGGAAGGTTTTTTTTAGTTAAAATTGGTGATGTAATCGAAATTATTGATCAAAAATGTGAAATAATTTTTAAGCAGATATTACATCCTACAACTTGGTTTGATATTTGAAACATCTTATTCTATGTGCTTATCTATTCAGAGTATCCAATATTCTTGGAAAATTAAGCCAAACAAGAAACTATGATTACAATAACTTTGCAGACTTACGTGCAACATGACTTCGGAAAATTGAAATAGTTCAGCGGAGAAGGATAACATTCACGATCAATACACGCCTTAAAATGCGAGAACAGAATAATTAGCCAATACATTCTTAAAAATAACGTTAGGATGATACAGAAAAGATGAGTTGTAACTAGCAGTCAAATCTAGGTTGAGCATTTCATCTTACTCGAAAGTGATCAGTTGGATGTAGCTGTAACATTACAGTGGAAAGTGCATAAGCCGTTCAAAACGAAAGATATTGGGTTCGAGTCTTAGTATGAACATCACAATTCCAGGTACACTTAACTAATGAGTATCAAACGGGACGAAAAGAGGACCTTGGACCCCAACAGCCAGCCAAAATCTATTTATTCGATAAAACCCAGTACAATCGCCTACCGTCGCTAAGTGAAAAGAGATTGAAATGATCGGTTTGTTTGGGAGAATTTGGAAAACAAAGATCGTTCCATCTTGGATTGGAGCGACTGTTATTCTCATCTTTAAAAGTGCCTTACGTAATATATACGAAAACTATCAAGCCGTATATTTACTTTCGACTGCTTCCAAACTATGGGTTTCCATCATACTCCACAGGTTACACAAAACCCGTGAAATGATCGTACACATCTTTGCATATACTTTTGTCTGACAAATTAGTGTTTATTATATGACGTTGTTTTCTGTACGGAATCGTTTACTGAAACCGTAAATTTGAAAAACCTGAAAAGCTGTTGGCAAGGTAATAAAGTGAGCGATGATCATTATTCATCTACAGCTTTGTTACTATGGTATTGTGATGACCGATCAGTGTCTGTTCACTTGACCTTAGCAATAGAAATTATCTTGTTGTACTAGTGAACTGATCTTACTACATTTCTCTACTGTACCTATTAACCAAATCATATGAATGTGAAATGAATTATTGGTGGTTTCATGACTCCTCCTTAAAATGGAAACAAGAAATTCAAACAAAATTTAAATCAAATTGTGGGTGGCTTTGAAAAAGACCTTTACTCGGTCTCTACACAGGTCCTTAGGTCCTGATCAATGACTCCACTATGAGTCCGTGACAGCGCCGCACATGGGACAGTTGAACCCAGGTGATACTTCTGTTGGGTCGTAGGCACAGAACGAATGAAACATAGCGTTGCATGGACAAAAAATCCAAGCACTTCCATCAGCTATTTCACTGGGCGGCTGACGTAGATGGCAAATATCACACAGTCGGTCATTGTGCGCACGTTCGTCTTCCTCATTGTCTCGGTCCGTAAACTCTCCTGAGTTCATAGATATTACTTCAATCTCGTTATCATTTAAGGTAGCATCCAAATCTACGTTCTGTTGACGGTTGGTACCTGTGGTATTTCGGACGATGGGCATTGTGATGGCAGTAGGTAATCCATCGTAAAGCAACTGATGAGCATAGTTAAGTAGAGCGGTGCGCTGTTCAGCGGACATACGCCGACATAAGTAGTGAATCGATGTTAGGTCGTTTGTCTGCCCCACTTGTACCGGTAACTCATTGTCAATCGTTACTCTGGTTACGTAGCTATTGGAATGCAGCCATCTGTCACCAATGCTTTCTCTGTGAACTTCGATGTTAGCGTGCGAACAGTATGCCAAGATGTGACGACATACGACTCTGTGTTCTACATAAAAGATACAGGAACAACTAATAGGATTTCTGGAGACTGTGTAAGTTCCTGTAGTATCAACGGCCGTGAAAATTCCCCCCGACAATACGAAGTCAGTAACAGGAACACGCAAGTGCCGCTTCAGCAGTTGACATGCAGCAGGTGTGAGTGTTTCCTGAAAACGACGTAGTTGAGGCTCGCAACCCAGCACAGCTCTGCTAAGGCATTCAGTGGAGTACTTTTGAACTCTAGCTTCTATCCAATATCCAGTGCGAAGCAGGACACTAAATATCTATCTGAACACGGGTGTTTTTCTGTTCAGCTTATGCAACTTTAAAATTCGATGGGTCGTCTCAACGAAATTTGTATTGCTTTGATCTAGAAGCATTGCAGCTGGTCTAAAAGCGTTCGACCACTTGTGCTTTTTGGATAATAACTGATCTCTCAAATATTGGTAGAAATTTCCGTCTGCTGCTTCGATAAATGACACATACCGTTGGAAGCGAATACGATAAATGGGTTAATTCCAAAGAAAGGAAAGCTTACCATCTTGATGACATTTCGAAGCAGGTGCACGCGGCACAAAAGGTGGTGTGAATTGGGATACACCTGCGTTATGGCAGCAGCTATAGCAGGTGAATCATCGGTAACAATACCGATCACCTCTCTATTGTTACTCGTTTGGAGGAAGAACGAGAGGAAACTGGACAGCAAAGTCGATGTTTCGCGACTTATAAATGCAATACAAACAGGTAATGCCATGAAATTCATATCCAGAGCCACCACGTGATACAGAAACATATTTTCATTATTGGTTTTGTATGTCCCATCAAAACCAACAACATCTAAAAACCTATGGCACAGATTAATCTGGTCTGCTGTAGCGAAGAAGAAGTACAACAGACTATGATCTGCATCCAATTGATAATCACAACGGCCACCAAGTGACGTTATGTGCTTTTTCAATTTACCGTAGTCACCTACAGTTAATAGTATAAATATGCACACTGCTTACCAGGAAGGTTGGCCTGTGAGAACACTTTGTGACGCATATTGAAAACATCTTGAGCAGTAAGACGTTTCCCATAGGATTGGTACGCGTAGTGTATAACATTGAATGCTGATGTGCCAGATATCAACAGTGGCTTCACTGTTTCCAATTCGCCGCATTCATGTGTTACAGTCGTACCTCAGGGAATTGCACTCGTGATTGTGATGCACATTCCCACGAAAAACAGCCCAATAACCTTCAAGAAACTTACAAAAGATGAAGGCCGGACATTGTGTGTCCATTGAAGTCCTCAATGAACAATATAATAACACTAATCAAATTACCTCCTTCGTTTAATCGGCTGCGATGAACTGCTTGGTGTTTTATAGCTCTTTCTCCAACATACAAATTTAATATACGGCTTCTGATCTCCATGGAAATGAGAATCTCTCACCGCATAATGGCAGTACGTTGCTATTTCATAAGTTCTAATGGCGCTCTTTAACGCTTCCAGTGATGGGAACACTACCAGATACAATGTATTCAGAAATGCATTTTCCGTTTAGGAGATTAGGTGAGGAACAACAGAGCCTCAAATTTGCACGTTACTGACGTCCATATTGTGAAGAAAATTATATATACCGATAAGTACAGAGCTTTTATACGAATTTCAAGAATTACATAACCAATTATAACGCATTTACAACTAGGAAAAATCGACGTGATCCTAATATTATTCTAATGAGGTGATCAATCAAAAACAGGTCTGAATAAATCAATGTCACGTCATTTCATTGCAGTCAAAGTGATTCATAAGTGACATGTCTGTAATTTCCTAGTTGTAAATGCGTTATAATTGGTTATGTAATTCTTGAAATTCGTATAAAAGCTCTGTACTTATCGGTATATATAATTTTCTTCACAATATGGACGTCAGTAACGTGCAAATTTGAGGCTCTGTTGTTCCTCACCTAATCTCCTAAACGGAAAATGCATTTCTGAATACATTGTATCTGGTAGTGTTCCCATCACTGGAAGCGTTAAAGAGCGCCATTAGAACTTATGAAATAGCAACGTACTGCCATTATGCGGTGAGAGATTCTCATTTCCATGGAGATCAGAAGCCGTATATTAAATTGTATGTTGGAGAAAGAGCTATAAAACACCAAGCAGTTCATCGCAGCCGATTAAACGAAGGAGGTAATTTGATTAGTGTTATTATATTGTTCATTGAGGACTTCAATGGACACACAATGTCCGGCCTTCATCTTTTGTAAGTTTCTTGAAGGTTATTGGGCTGTTTTTCGTGGGAATGTGCATCACAATCACGAGTGCAATTCCCTGAGGTACGACTGTAACACATGAATGCGGCGAATTGGAAACAGTGAAGCCACTGTTGATATCTGGCACATCAGCATTCAATGTTATACACTACGCGTACCAATCCTATGGGAAACGTCTTACTGCTCAAGATGTTTTCAATATGCGTCACAAAGTGTTCTCACAGGCCAACCTTCCTGGTAAGCAGTGTGCATATTTATACTATTAACTGTAGGTGACTACGGTAAATTGAAAAAGCACATAACGTCACTTGGTGGCCGTTGTGATTATCAATTGGATGCAGATCATAGTCTGTTGTACTTCTTCTTCGCTACAGCAGACCAGATTAATCTGTGCCATAGGTTTTTAGATGTTGTTGGTTTTGATGGGACATACAAAACCAATAATGAAAATATGTTTCTGTATCACGTGGTGGCTCTGGATATGAATTTCATGGCATTACCTGTTTGTATTGCATTTATAAGTCGCGAAACATCGACTTTGCTGTCCAGTTTCCTCTCGTTCTTCCTCCAAACGAGTAACAATAGAGAGGTGATCGGTATTGTTACCGATGATTCACCTGCTATAGCTGCTGCCATAACGCAGGTGTATCCCAATTCACACCACCTTTTGTGCCGCGTGCACCTGCTTCGAAATGTCATCAAGATGGTAAGCTTTCCTTTCTTTGGAATTAACCCATTTATCGTATTCGCTTCCAACGGTATGTGTCATTTATCGAAGCAGCAGACGGAAATTTCTACCAATATTTGAGAGATCAGTTATTATCCAAAAAGCACAAGTGGTCGAACGCTTTTAGACCAGCTGCAATGCTTCTAGATCAAAGCAATACAAATTTCGTTGAGACGACCCATCGAATTTTAAAGTTGCATAAGCTGAACAGAAAAACACCCGTGTTCAGATAGATATTTAGTGTCCTGCTTCGCACTGGATATTGGATAGAAGCTAGAGTTCAAAAGTACTCCACTGAATGCCTTAGCAGAGCTGTGCTGGGTTGCGAGCCTCAACTACGTCGTTTTCAGGAAACACTCACACCTGCTGCATGTCAACTGCTGAAGCGGCACTTGCGTGTTCCTGTTACTGACTTCGTATTGTCGGGGGGAATTTT